TCTCCGGGCGTCCCTCGCGCTGGCTGTGAAGGGCTCTTAGCCCTGGGAGCTACCTGAAGCCAGAGCGAGGATAAGGCAGGGCTGGAATAAGTCGGTGTATCCCTCAGATCAGCAGTTCTTGTGCGTGCATCGTCTTTCCTTGGGCAGGTCAGGAGCCAGCACACCTGATCCCAGAAACCAATAACGTGCCCAAAAACCAGGACCCAATCGCTATGAGACCTGCTGAGGTGCAGCCTAGCGGGGGAGTACAGGAGCGCGAGCCACAAATTCACCTTTTTCACACCTTTCCCAACCACTTCTGTGATGCTGAGTGTAACACAACTTGCCCCGTGCCTCAGTTTCCCCATCTATTATATGATGGTTCGTGGCAGGGTCACCAGAAGGGGTAATTAATACATTCTTTGCAAGGAGGTTTGTGGGTGAGGAGCTAAAGCGAGTGTGGTTTTCTGACCCCAGTAAAGTTTCCAAAAACTCTCCTTGTTTCATGTCGGGAAGAAACAAAGACCTTTTGATGTTTGTCATAGTAGAGAGACAAAGCCATGTCCCCCGCATGCCAGGTGAATGCCCTGACTCCTGGGTTATTTGCTTTTCTCTCGTCCTTGCTATAAGTTACTTGAATTTTGGCCAGAAATTCCTTCCTCTCCCTGACCGCTCTTTCTAACCTAAAACGTTTTGGCTTGAACAGATCAGCCTTTTCTGCTGACAAGCTGTTTTGTCAGAAAAATATTCCCACCAACTCTTAAGTATCATTGTAGTTCCTATGATTTCTCGTCAGTTAAAGGACCATCGATGGAGCTAAAAAACAAATCCGGCTCTTTGAAATCTTTTAATCTGCATCACTGATAAGGAGGGGCGAGTGACTGACACCTGCAATTACACACAAAGAGCGCTCTTGTCTTTGGGTTTAATTCTTAAACCTTTCTGCTCCTCCGGCATCCTGTTTTGACCTGGAGTCTCCTACGAGTGCAAAAGAGGGGCTTTGCACCTGAACCAAAGAGGAACTTAGAGACTTAGATGCAAGTGAGTTTCCAGTTTCAGACGAACCCGAGAAGGCCGGTAGCACTCGAGAGGGGACAAGCCAGATGTTGGCCAAAACTTGAGAGCTGAAATGACTGCATTTCACTCAATTTCCCTAACGGCCTTTGTTCCTGAGCATCTCTCTTCACCCTTCTGGCTGCCAGTTTTTCTGTTGCACTCGACTGCAAATCCTCAGTCATTTCACTTGGATGAAGAGCCCACACACATCAGTGGGATCAATCTGGACCGGAGTCTAGCACGTGTGTAAGCGTTGGGAGGAGCAGAGCCTTTTCTCTACACAGTGACGCTGGTTGTGCCGTGTTGGTCTAAGCACACAGGCAGACAAGGTTCTTTGGGTAAATGTGATCTCTTTTGTGAGACCAACTCAATAGTTGGAAAAACTGAACAACGTTTCCAGCTATTGAGTTGGTCAAATAAAAGAGATCACATTTACCCAGAGAACCTTGTCTGCTTATCTAGATAGTGAAACTTGACAGGTCACGCTCATTCTTTGGCTCTTGGGGGCCATATCCAGCTGCCACCTCTGTGTTTCTGGCTGCAAGAAGAAAAGGGTTTTACGTTTGACAAGAAATGTCACCGAATGTTCATGGAGTCTCATTCTTCCAGGCTCTCCTCATCACTTTCTGCATAGTAAAACAGACCAAAACCTCTGGAGGAGGGCTAGAGCGAAGCACTACATCCAGACTTAAATACCCGAAGTGCTAAGCCTCTGCAGCTTTCATGAGCTTCGATGGCAGCAGCATTTGCTCAGCACCCTTGATGATCTGGGCTTCTTTGCGGAGAGTCTAATTCAGGCACCTTCCTTGAATCCTTTTAGCTTTTGTTTTGTTTTTTCTTTGTAACATGCTCACTTTTTCAGCCTGCACGCTCTTCTATTGATCAGTTGAGTCAGGAGAGGAAAGAAATCCCTGGATGTTTCCTTGAAAAAAAAATACCTCACCTTCTAGATACATCCTATGCTGTGCTTTTAGGGTTGCTGCTAGAAAACACCTGAACTCTCAAAATGCAGCGAGCTAGGGAGAGAAAAGTGGGGTATGCTTGATGGTAGGATCCCAAAATGTTTTGCATCTCTTGCTCTGTCTCACCTGGGGATGCATGGGCACTGGGGACACACGGGTCTGAGTAAGATCAGGGTCAGGCCTTTTGTGCATCTCACGATCAAGCCAGCGATCCCCCTGCCTACGCGCTCACCCCCTTCCTTTCCCCATCTCTCCCGCTGCAGGGAAATCTGTGGGTATCGTCACCACCACGCGAGTGAACCATGCAACGCCCAGCGCAGCCTACGCCCACTCGGCCAACAGGGACTGGTACTCGGATAACGAGATGCCCCCGGAAGCCATTCAGCAAGGCTGCAAGGACATTGCCCAGCAGCTGTTTGAGAACATCCCTAACATCGAGGTAAGTCAGCGACCAGAAAAAAGAGCTTCTGGTTTGATGGGATGAAGCGAGGAGGGAGGCAGGGGCTGTGCAGTTAGGACCAGTATTCAGGACAGCCTTCAGATTAGACCGTAGAGTTACAGTGCACCATCCTCGCATGTGATGTGTCTGCCGTCTAGTGCCTTATGGAAGAAGATAGCCACCTCCTGCTAGTTAACTGAGCTTCCCGTTTTGGGTAAGCAGTAGCAATATGGGGTTTTTTGGGTGCATGCAGTGCTGAATGCCCACCTGGCCAGACCCCTTGAGGAATTCTCTTCTCCTGGAGAATGAGCAGCAAATCAATTGCCTGGGTGGTTTAAAACTGGACTGGACGAAGCACCAGACAATGCAGGGAGCAGTTCTGCTCTGGCCAAGAATAGGTCATCTCTAGGGACTCGGGCCTGCCTGTGGAAGTGGGGAGTGGAGCTGGGGGGATGTCGGGGAACACTCTGCAGCAGTCCACAAGTGCCGCTCTGTGCTGGGTGATGCATGTTGTAGCATGTACATGGGGGGAGCCCCCGTGCCCACACACCATGGGGAGGGAGTCCTGCCTGTCTGTGGCTGAAGGTAGCTCAGCTGCTCAGGGTGCTTTGCTCAAGGAAGTCTGTAAAGTTGGCATGCTCACTGTAGATAGAGCCTGCTTCTCGTTAGTGCAGTGGGGCTGTCTGGACGCGCCGTCACGGTCC